AGGAAAGAGAGAGAAGAGATAGGAGAGAATGAGGGAGACACCTGGGGCTAGCCATCCAGGCAGCCACCAGCCATCTTGATGGAGTAGGACATACAGAAGGGAAGAAAGGTAAAAAGCCCAGAGGCAAAACATAGATGAAAAGAAACAGGTTAAGTTGTAAGAGCTAGTAAGAAATGAGCATAAGATAAGGACGAGCATTCATTAACTATTATTAAGTCTCCATGTCATGGTTTGGGAGCTGGTTGGTGGCCCAGAGAAAGCCTACTACAAGATTCCCTGGAGCTGGAGCAATGAACAGCTGTGAGTCACTTTGTGGGTGCTGGAACTGAACTCTGGTCCTCTGCAAGAGCAGTCAGTGCTCTTAACATCTGATCTGTCTAACCAGCCTCAGATGAGACAGTTTTTAAAATATAGTTAAGATCAAATTCCATGGTTTTCATTTGTTTGTTTTTGGCCACTGGGTTAGACTGGGACATGGGATGGCAGTTAGACAGTTCAATGTTCTCCGATAGAGTATTGTGTTTGGGGTGTTTTAAATAACAAACATGTATAAAAATAATATATAAAGGGCTCCTAGCATAAACATGTATTTTGATATGAAGACAATTTTTTCAGGTCTAGCTTTACCAAGCTTGTGCTGGGAACTGAACCCGGGTCCTGTGTAAGAACAATGAGTGTTCTTAACTCTGAGCATCTCTCCAGCTTTTTGTTAGTTTCTCTCCTGTTGTTTGTTTAGGTTTTACATGTGTGGATAAACTTGTTCATTGAATTTAGAAAAGCAAAAGAGTGCAATTTATTTGATTGGAGCTGGCTCGACTAAATGGCAATAAGCTCAGTTTAGTGCTTTGTTACATTCCTGGTGCCTTATGTGGCAGAAGAAGTGTTATGTAAATACGTAATTTTCCTGTTCCTTCATTTAGAACATGAATTGACAATAGCTTAAACTCATTGTTTTTCACATATTTGTTCTTGTCCAAAAGACAAAATTACAGCAAACTTAAAGCTCTTAATTTGACTTCCACTTAAAATTCTAGAATCAGGCCCTGCAAGGAACTAGAACAGGTTCAAGGGTTTCTGGAAGTTCAACACGGTCAGACAGCATATATGGACCAAAATCCAAAATGATGTACAAGGCAGCTTAACTATGCACAGTTCAGTGCTGTACCCTTGGGGAAGGATCTGCCTGTGACTGGCTAAGATCAGCTGCTGAGGGAGACTGAGTCTCAGAGATTTGTATCAAGTATAGAGGCATCCTCAAGCCTAGGCTTCCTTTACCATTCTGATATTCATGTGTAGAAATGTTTCAGAGTTAATAGCCAACTGCTGTTTTAAATAGCAAATATATTTATAAGAACTAATTAGTTCATGGCATAAAGTAATTTGGGAAATGAGTGCAGAAAAGACAATGCTGCTTGCATCACCATCATCCATACATATATTTTGAAATGATAACATGTGATCTATTTTCATTAGGCTTTTGCAAACAAAATGTTTAATTTTGACAAGTTAAAATGTCAAAGAAGCAATTATAGACAGCAAACCACCACAAGATATTTTGGTTCTTCTAGAAATTTCAGAACACACTCCTTTAATTTTCATTGTGTAAATCTCCCAAGAGAGGGCTACCTTTTCAAAGACATTCTTTTAATCAATCTTATTTAGTATTTCTTTTTTTTTAACTTTAAAATTTTTATCAAAACAACTTTTATTGATGTCATAAGCATACATCATTGGGATGCAAATAGTGGTATTCAAGTACATTTACGCTGTGTGTTGATCAGGATATTTAGGGTATCCACAATCACTACCATTCTCATTATGAGGAGACATTCAAAATCCTCTCCATGGCATGGGGCACAGGGACTGAGAAAGGAGAATAGAAGAATACAAGTGATGTGAAGAGAGAAATGATAAAAGTTAGGGAAATTGGGGAGGGAGCTGTAATTGAGGACAAGTGAGGAGGTCATTAGAGAAGGAGAGGGAGGGAAGAGAAATAAATTACACTAAGGAGATTTGAAAAAGTCTTAAGGAATTATATTATTTTATATTTAACTTATTTATTCATACATGCATATGTATATGTATATACACATGCACACACAAACATGCACATATGCACATCTATCTATGTATCTATATACCTATTATCTATATATCAACTATCTATCATCTATAAGATACATATGAAGCTATGCCACTTGAGCTGACAATGTTTTTCTCAAAAGCCATAGATCATTTAATAAAATCCCCACTATCAGTAAGAGTTCAAGAGACTCCCCAAACAGTATAGGCTATTGTTGTCTCCTAGCTATTTCAAAATATACAACATTGTCAACTACAGTCACCCTTCCGTGTGACAGAAAGCTAGAATTCATTTCTTCTGTGTGGTATGATTTGTATCCATCATCAAATCTGCCCCATCTCTCCTTTCACATTCTCTAGTCAATCTCTGGTGGTTACTTTTTTCTGTTGTTTGCTTAATTAATGAACATGGATTTTTGTTGAAACAAGGCATTGCACACATTCTTGGAAGTATTTGGATTAGCTCTTCTGTTAGGATGGAATCAATAGTGAAGTCAAGAGCTAGAGATGTAGCTCAGTGATAATGAGAGCCTGCCAAACACAGTCAAGGAAGGCCTGGGTTCAGTCCACAGCACCATAAAACACAGAATTAAACCAAGAAATGTTACAAGTGATTTTGTTTAGAGCTATAATAGGAAACAATCTTGTTTCCAATCAGACACAGTTTTTCTTGCAGGGGAAATCATTATTATACAAGCAAGAAGACATCTTCTTACAGAGCAGTGGACCTTGTCATATTTTGTGAGATATCTATCAGAGTCACAAGTTTGATTTTTAGTCCTACATAGGTAGCCCTGATAGTAAAGAAATCAGCCACAAATTAGCAAAAAGGAATAGGAATGGTAGATGTTCAAGTTTCTAATTTCTTTGAAATATTCACAGAAAAAAAGAGGAGAAAGGGGTTAAGAAGGAGGAAAAAGAAGAGGAGGAAAAGAAGGAGGAGGAAGAAGAGGAGGAGGAAGAGGAGAAAGAAGAGGAGGAGGAAGAAGAGGAGGAAGAGGAGCAAGAGGAGGAAAAAGACTAGGACAAAGAGGGGGAGGAGGAAGAAGAGAAAAGGGAGGGGGAGGAAGAGGAGAAGGAGGAAGGAGAGGAGGAAGAGGAGAAAGAAGAGGAGACCAGTCACTTCACAGAGTCATTTAAGGTTTAGAGTTTATCTAAAGTACCCAGGTATGCCAATTTTCTTCTTAGAAACCAGCTAAGCCTCTAAAACAGGTCAGTGGGCTTTGAGCATAGACTTCTCTGCCCCAGCCTGGGTCTTTAAAGCACAGGTGCTAAGTGGAGGGTCTCTCTGAGACTCACTCAGCCTCTGACAGGCACTTGGCAATCCTGGCAGTTGTTAGAATTGGCTGCTCTGCAGGATTAATCTTTTATCATCAAAGTTTTATCTTTTCCTACCCTTTTCAAGTTGAATCAACAGTTATTTATTAGAATCTTTATTCAAAGAATCTCCCTTCTGAAGGAAAGTTGAAAAAATCATTTTATGATTGGCATTTATTTATAACATCTGGTGGAAGCATAACAGCACAGAATGTTCTACCTAATCATATTTTATTATTTACAAAGTTTCAGCTGTTCAGGTCAAACAACTCAAAGTCTCACTACAGGGACAGTGGTTGTGGAAGTGGATTGGAGCTGGAGTCACTGCTCTGCTTATGAAAGCCAGGGAGAAGGCTTCCTTGGAATTCCACAAATGGTCATGAATTTCATTTACCTAGGTTGCTACTGAGGAGTAAACGTAAGTGATCTGAACACTTAGTTTATAGTTTATCAAAGTAGCAGAGATTTTATCAAAGTAGCAGAGATCCTTTCTTCAGTAAAGTGTTATTATTTTCTTTTACAAAGGGATAACAAGAGGTAGATATTTTACCAATTCCTCTTATAATACAGTATTGTTTCATATTTTAAAAATTCAAAATATATTTTATGATAAACTTTTCCAGATACTAATCTATACATGGAAATGCTAATATATGAAAACTAATGACATACAATCCAGAGCTTGTGAGTGTTAAGGAGGAATCACAGATATATTTTGGCTTTAAGTTTTATCATTGAAAATAATGAAAATGAATGAGCTTTGTAAATGAACTCCAAACTGATAAGTTTTCTATTCCAAACCCAACCGTGGAATTCTACAGTTAAAGTATACATAACAAATTAATTAACTCTGAATTACACTATTTCAAATATATTGTGGATAAATATGAGCAAACTTCCACAAAACCACTAGATGGCACACAGGCACTGCGACTTTGGTGGAAGATAATCTCAAAGTCATCATTGTCTCCAGCAAATGCTATCTATAACTGCATAGTGTTTTCCTACTGCTTGACACAATGACATAGCTCAGTTTTATCTTTTCCTACCCTTTTCAAGTTGAATCAACAGTTATTTATTAGAATCTTTATTCAAAGAATCTTCCTTCTGAAGGAAAGTTGAAAAAAATCATTTTATGATTGACAGGTAGCATTTATTTAAAACATCTGGTGGAAGCATAACAGCACAGAATGTTCTACCTAATCATATTTTATTTCATTGCTTTGTTAATTTATGTCAATAATTTTTATGCAACTAACTCTCAAGGACACAAAAAGGCCCATTAAAATTCTCTAACATTTTGATGACACTTAATCTTCAAAATTCATACTAATGAAGTCCAAGAACTCCTGGTGACTAAGCAAGTATTCTTCTACAGTTTATAGCTTTACAAGGTGTAAAGCAGTACTCCTAACTTTGACTGCACATAAGAACTAAATGGCCTTTGGTAGTAAAGAACTGTCATTTTGCCATGGAGACAAATCATGGGAAATTCCTAATTCTCATACTCTGAACTGGAAGACACATAGAAACAGATTTGGAATGGGTCAACATTTTTATCCAATGTACACCTGAGTAATAATATGAAGCCCAAGACTTACTTGTTCTAAAATGTTCTGAAGCCTCTCTATCTCACAATCTATTACAAACTTCTTCTCTTGTCTTCTGTCAAGCTCTTCTAGCAGTTGCCTGTAGCTGACATCGTTAAAATTTTCCACACATATCGCACTGACATGCCATCCATTCTGTCCTGCTTTTTCCATAATAGCTTGAAGTATTGAATATCCTATTAGGGAGAAAAAACAGTTAATAAAATCATGCTTTTAACTTATGTAGAGACATTCCTTTTGACTTATGTAGAGACTGAATCCACATCAATATTTTTCATGTTTTAAAGGACATTCACATCATTTAGAATCTTGAAAATATGAGTCAGTATTTAAGAATTTTTTTTTAAATTTTCTTTACTCAGGACAATAAACTCTCTTAAGCTGGATTGGATGATGCTGCCACAGTACACCTTGTGTAAAACCTCAAAATCCTCCATTGGAGAATATTCCATTGCTCTAGATATGCTTTTAATGAGATAAAGCAGAACCCCATTGTACCACTCCCCATGGTCAATAACAATTTCATGAACCCATTTGTTATTTTACACTCTAAACAGAATTTGTTTTGAACAATGGTTTAAATTTTCCCTATTGAACAGGGTAGTAACAAAATTTTTGTTTTAACTAGGGAAGAAAAAGTGTACAAGAAAACATTACTATGGTATTTATTGAAGCTGTTATTACTGTCGGTCTCATGTGATGGTTCAGACAAACTATACAGGGATGGCATTAGTTACTAAGCTTTCCTTGTCCTGGCAGAAGAACGATGTGGTCTGGGTATGAGATGAATTGTCCACAGGTGAGGGGCTGAGAACACAGATGCATAAGTTCTTAGAGGAGAAGAATGTCCAAAGAAATGTGACCAAAACTTTAAAAGTGCAATAAAATTACACATGTCACACGCCTGCCTATAAACATAACAGTTGAGAGGTAGAAGTAGGAACTCAAGGTCAGTTTCCTCTGCATAAGAAGTGTAAGGTCATCCAGGGCTACACAGCACCTTGTCACAATACCCCAAACAAACAACGACTTCCAGAAAGTCTGATGAGGTGGCTCAACAAAAAGGTGCTTGTCACCAAAGTTCAGTTTTTAGGTTACATGGGAGAAGGATAAAATAAAGTCCTCTAAATTGTCCTGTGTCATTCACAGGCAGGCAGAGACACACAAACATAAAGCAAGTCAACAAGTAAATAGTTAAAAGCCGTCCTGACAGCCGTGCTGGGAACCAGGACAGCTCACCGAATCTTTCTAGATGAGACAAGGAAAGAGCAACACAGAGAAGCAACCATTTGAATTGAGCCCTGAAGGTTGAGAAAATGCAAGATTGTTGGCGATGGGGTACTGGTTAGGTGCTGGGGTGCTCCTGGGGAAAGGGTGTGCTCTCTGCCCTGTTTTTCACCCAAATATCCCTTCAAGTGGAAGGAGACTGTCAGCCGCAACAGTGTCTTCATGTCTGCATCTTCAGCCCTCAATTTTGAGTTATAACTTAGAGATAAAGAGAAAAAAGACTCTGAATTGATTTAAAAGCATGAATAAAATATTCTATCTAGTCTCTTTAAGATTGTTTAACAGCAGCGTGAGCTCAGTCTGTAGTTGTTGCCCCTGGCTTCTCCCTCCATAGGCTTTGGAGTTAGGCTAGAGAGTTGGCAGGACTCAAAGGGAAAATTTAAAGTGAACACACCTATTTATAAGATAAGAGAACACTTATTCAGTGTCTGGGTGGCACACAAGTCTCAGATTTAGGAAGTCTCTTTTTAAGGTTCTGTTTCCCTGTCTCTGAGTTCCAAACATTGTGATGTGCAGGCAATGTCAACAGATGGAACTGATGATGAGATCATATCTGAAATATAAATTACCTGATTTCCTGCCAAATGAATACTGTGGCAGTCAGAATTCATTTCTATTTAAATGAAAAGAATCCCCAAAGAAGAAAGAGGGCATGTTAATTACAATATGCTTATTCTGGATATATATTGCTCCATTTAGTCTTTCCTTTTGTAGTTCATACCTGTAATTATCTTTTCATATCTTAGCCTCACATTTCCCTTCTCCCACCAGCCTGAAACCTAGCAGTCTTTTATTTCCTGTTAAATGAATATGCAATGTGATAGCCCCTTCCTTCCTTCCTTCCTTCCTTCCTTCCTTCCTTCCTTCCTTCCTTCCTTCCTTCCTT